AGGAAGGCCTGATATCCCTGAGAAGTTACCATCACCTTTAATTTGCAGTGATAAAACCTCTGAGTGATGCTGTCCCCTTACTCCTCACCTGTGCCCCCTTGGAACCCATGTAAGCACAGGCCGCTCTGCGGTCCCAGCCACAGGCAGGACAGTTTCCCTGCCCTGCAGTGGTCCTTCTGCTGAACGGGGAGCTGCTGGGGGGATGACACAGCAGGTATGGTCCCAGCTGGCCTCCAGGCTGGCTTCTTCAAAATAGCCCCAGGCTCTGAGCTTTGGGCCTGCAGTTTGCTGTTTGCAAAGAGCATGGAGAGAATGACCTGAATGTGCATACGATTCCCATAGTGGGTGGGCTGGCCAGGCTTTGTTCCACAGGCTGTTACAGTCCCTAAGCATCCCCTAGGGAAGGTGTGATGGAAGGTGGAGTATTCATGTACCCTGTGATTGCCGAGGAGGAAGAGCAGCGGCAGGCACAGCCCTAAGGCAGTGCTGGGGCAGGAAGGTGAAGCACCAGCACCTCTATCTTTGCTTCACCCATGTGGCTGGTGACACCCTCCTCCAGTGTGTCTGCATGGACAAACCTTGTGCCGTGCAGAGACATCCAGGCTCTTCTGTGAGCAGGGGCTGTCAAAGAGCCAACTACATGAACCACCATCTATAACCAAACAGCAGTGTTTTGATTTAAACTATTCCCTACTGGTTCTCTATGTGTAGTTACCTTTTAATACTCTAACGATGTATCCCTCAGTGCCATTCACTCTCATTATTGTTTGATTTTGTAGCTCTATTACAAAGCAGCGCCTGCATAAGGTGACTGTGTAACCATGCAACAGCCATACATCAGCCTCCCATGGCCTCATCAGCGCACCTCAGGCAGGCAGTGACAAAGGGAAAGGGCCGGGCACTGTGGCATCTCAGGGGTTCTGGTCATTGGGGTCACACTTCAGCATGACTTTGACCCCTTCGCCCCTCTTGGTGGTCTCAAATGCCTCAAGAGCCTTTTCCAGAGGGAAGCGGTGTGTAACTAAGGGCTTGACGTTGATCCGCTTGGATGCGAGCAGAGCAATTGCCACAGGCCACCTGCAAGGGAGATGGAGAGCAGAGGATGAGAACAGTCACCAGTTTGAAGCCCCACATAAAAGGCATGGAGGAGGCACGGTTTCATTACAGTAATTTCCTTAGCCCAGAAACCAAGGGGAGCTTTTCCTGAAACAATCTTCCAGGGGGGAACGTCAAGCACCAGGCATGGGAGATGGGACAAGCCAACTACTCTCACCTGGCCTCGCTGCTTGCAGACTCATCACTGTGAAGTTCAAACTCAGCGACTTGGTGCAGGGAGAAGAAAAGCCTTAGTCAGCTTCCAACCTCTTCTCTGGCAGAGACTCACTCAATTTGATTGCCTTGCTGTTCCATTTGAATGGGTCAAATGAGAGTGGCGAAGATACAAAGGGATGCAGCAGCTCACCTGATTTCCAAACTGCCCACACTTAAAGACATTTCTCATTTTAAGGAGGAGGTTGACTACATCTCATAAATATTTCCTGGAGAACAACTTCTACAGACTAAGCAAAGATTCTTGCTCCAGAAGAAACTACAGCTCTGAACAGAGCAGAAACCAGGCTGCAAACATGTGCTGGATCTGAAGCCCTGCCCAAGGAGTACAAGATCTAAGACAGGACAGCTAACTTCTGCCCTCAGGGTATGCTCAAAGACCTCATGCCTGTGCATGAGCTCTGCAGTTCAGTTCTCTGTAGAGAGCACAAACACCTTCAGACTGGCTCCTGATGTATCTTCAGCTCCAGCAAAATGAAAACTAAACAAGGCTCTTGCTCAAGCCAATATTCCCTGACGTCCAGCAAGACTGATGATGTCATTTCCTACCATAATCAGTGAGGAGAGCAGAGCTGGGCATCACCTGGCATAGGATGCAGCACTTCGGATTTTGACTCTGCCCAGAAATAAGATTCGCCAACACTCTCTGCCTCAAAATGGACAATATAACATTTAGGAAGGTGGATACCAGGAGGCAGCTCCAGGTGGGTCCAGGCCATGCCAAGCTGCTGCTTAAGAGATCTCCCAGCACAAAGTGTTGAACCAGCTAAAAGCTGTGTCTTCCTCCCTGCCTTACTATGAGCCAGCACAGTCATGGACAACCACAGCACCTGACCTTCCCTTTCTACAGGACATAAGAGTTAAAGGCACAAATCACAGAAATAATGAAAGAAAGATCTGCGTTGGAAGGGACCTTGAGGACCATCTAGTACCAATTTCCCTGCCATGGACAGGGACACCTTCCACTAGACCAGGTTGCTCAAAGCCCTGTCCAGCCTGGTCTGTTCCTTTTCTTGCACCAAATGCTGCATGAAATGGGCCAGTAGAACAACCCAGATGGGCTGCTTTGTTGTGGAAAAGTTTGCAGTGCAGGGCTCAACCAGGAACCAAGGCATAAAATGCAGGACACATCATTCAGACTGCCTGCATTGCTGCACTGGCCTTTCAGAGTGACATGAGGTTACCAATTTCCCTGCCATGGACAGGGACACCTTCCACTAGACCAGGTTGCTCAAAGCCCTGTCCAGCCTGGTCTGTTCCTTTTCTTGCACCAAATGCTGCATGAAATGGGCCAGTAGAACAACCCAGATGGGCTGCTTTGTTGTGGAAAAGTTTGCAGTGCAGGGCTCAACCAGGAACCAAGGCATAAAATGCAGGACACATCATTCAGGTTCATGAGGTTTAACCTAGTGTAAGGAAAACCAGCCTTTTCCACGTCCTCCCTCCTTGTGGAAAGCAAAAATTTCTTAAGGACAGACTTGGAGACACATGAGCCCACCCTGCATGAGACTCACGTGTTGCAGTAGCGGAATATCCCCCGGATATCCACCTCCCGCACGGCAGCGTTCACAATGGGCACAGTGACCATCTCAGGCCCCAGTCCCACCAGCACCAAGGTCCCACCAGAACGAGTGGCCTGGAGAACAAACAAGTATGTTATATTTTGCTAAACATCCTGAATAAATAACCCTACATTTTGTGGCTGTAACGGACTGCCTGGGCCATGGCAGAGAAGCAGGGGATGCTGTCAGGACCCCGTAAACACGAAACAGAACACACCTTATACAGCAATCTTTCAAAAACCTCAGAAGGATTTTGGGATCTAAATTTCATTCTGAAAAATGACTGGCATTTAGGAGTATGAAAGGTACTTCTGGATTTCAAAGGGAGGGATTTAAAACTAAAAGCCTTATGCTCCACTGGAATTTCTCTTTTTGCAGCTTGTCCAATTTGTCTCCTGTCCTTTCATTGTGAAATTCTGCGCTATCTTTGCCACATTCTCCCATTAGGCAGTTCAGAACAGCAAAATTCCCCCCTTAACTGCTTCACCTGCTGGAATTGTCTTAATTATTCTCTTTATTTGGACATAACCTCAACTTAATGGCAGATGCTGTCCTACTGTACCAGCTCCCTGACACTGCTGTGTAGCCATACTTGGGGCTTGGGGTCTTACTGTAGTCTTTTGTAAGTGGTTAAGCAGCTGAGCATCAAACCAGACATTTATCCCTGTGCTGCCTGCAAAGATGTTAACTCTTTATTCATCTCTCTTGGTTTGTTGTCTGACAAGCACCTTCTCTCCCCACACCAAGCCCACTGCAATTAAGCACTATGGGAATGAGGTAACTGTCATTCACTGTGGCATCCCAGAAAAAGAAAAGTCAATGCCATTACTGTTCTGCCTTGGAGACAAGTGGTACTCACATAAATGCCAGCCTGGATGCAGGCCTGCACTCCTGTGCACTCCACAGTTATCTCGGGCATGCAGCCAAGCAGACTTTCCACTTTGGAGGCCACCTCCTGTGGGGTCTCGTTCTTCACCTGAATGGTGAAATCTGCCCCCAACTCCTTGGCTTTTTGCAGGCGAGGGGCAGATAAATCTGGGGAAAGACAAAACAACTCAAGAACTGGAGCAGGATGTGAAGCTGAAGGGGAGAAAGAATCTGCTTCCTTTACTCCATCTGACATCTCAACAGAACCACCTTGTTGGGTGACCAGCTGCCAACTCTCACAGAATACAGCATTTGCCATGTGACAGAACAAAGTGGGGAATTGCAGCCCACTTGTACCTTCTCAATAATGTATGTAGACCACCAAGACCAAAGGGCTTCCCACACTTGATGGAGGTAGGCCACCATCAAGGAGCCCTGAGGGAAGCACAGATGTCTGGGGTCTCAGCACAGTTCACAGGGCAGCATGCAACCAGGAGAGGAAAGGGTCTATGTTCCCTCCCTCAGATTCACACAGCCTTTGGTGAGGAGGCACGGAAGAGACCTGCCTAGAGAAAGATAAGCGATGAGGACAATTTAAAGACACAGAAGACACCAAGGGCTTTCCAGCTGCAGATGAGGGTGTACTTTGATGAGGCTAAGGCATAAACTCACAGATTAAATCTACACCATTCAAAGCAAGGTCTGAGTGAAGGAAGAGCTGCCACCACTAGACTTGAGTGGTGTTTTCTAAGACGGTCGGCTTGTAGATCTCCCAGTTTCTCTTTGGAATACTGAGAGTGTGCCAAGACAAACTAGAAGGCCAAGCTTAACTCCAAAGGGCATGCACACTGATGCCACAAGCAGGAATCACAGCAGGAAGAGCTGTAGCTGAGCACTGCCAAGCACTTGCAGAGCAGAGGAACCTCACTGAAGGCAAAAGCAAAAGGCAGCAGGAGGTCAGGACAGACAGGGCAGTGCTGAGTCACACTCGTCCTGTTTGAACAGTGTGGATGTGTCTTACCAAAGTTGCAACTGTGTAAGACTGCACTGCCCAGTGTCTCTCTGGCAATGACTCTTTCATGAAGCAGGTTCACTCATTCACACAGGACCTTAATCCACTGGTGTAAAGGGACTGTACAAAACCATGTTACACACACACACATAGGGAGTTAATCCAGGGAGGAGCTTACAGTGAGGAAAAAAACCACCACTCATCTCTGAATTTTACTTCCCTGGCTTTCAAGATTATTTGCTATTGCTCACACCCTCAAGGATACCTCTCAAAGGGCTCTAGGCAGAGGCAAGGTTGCTGACGTTCCTCCCTGATGGCCCCGAATCACCTGGCAACGGACAGCACAGCACCAAGCACCCTTTCTAACAGGAGACATCAGGCTCAGAGGATCATTAATGTGGCTATTTCACTTCCAGTGGTACAGAATTAGAGCAGACCAGGAGCTCTCTGAGGGCTTCCTTAATGAACCATCTGCAGACGCTTTCAGCTGACAGAACTGCAGAATGCATTAGTTGTCAACACTAAGTGTGTCCCTGCTGTTACAAGCCTCTCCCATTCCTTCACTCTCCTTCTAACAGCACTGGAGGCCGCTGAGCATCTCTCCAGCACTTTGTGTCACAGATGAATGAGCAGGCAAGCCCATGAAAAAAGGGAGTGGATCTGGTAATACAGTGGACCTCAGATACCCCACTAACACAGAGCAACAAAGCTGGTGATGATAAATATCTGCAAGGGCACAGCTGTACTCTGGTACTCTGTCCAGGGAGGTCTCAACAGCAATGTAATTATCTTTTGAATATCCACAAAATGATCTGTACCATGGAGTAAGCTGCCCTGTTTGGCAGCTACACTGCGTCTTCTCTTTCACATCCCCTGGAAGGGAGCCACCCATCCCTCTCCATGCACCGTGGGTGACCAGGACATCTCTGGAGAGGAGGTGGAGAGCAGAGGAGAATGGCATTTCCCATGCAGAAACAACCTCTTTGTCTTGCACTGAAGCAGTGGTCTAGAGGGGCCTGTGTGCTGGCACTGGAAAAAACCCACCTGGATGAAAGGTGGAAACTAAGCTGTAACACCTAAGATTTCCTAGACCCAAAACCGAAGGGTGAGCAGTGCTTCCTGCCAGAGGTTCTAGGCTTGAAGACTCAGAAAATGATGCCTTTGCTAGGGGCATCACAGGACACCCACCCACCACAAAGAGGAAAATACCTTCCTCACCAGAGCACAGTCTTCAGAGAAGTCAGAGATGGGCATAGCATGAAAATATCAAGGGAAAAGAGAAAGAGAACAAAGCCACTGCTCTGACATAAACCACTGACTCAGCTCCAGTGCTGGAAGGAAGCCAGGCCCCAAGATCTACCCTGCCCATCACAATGTGAACCTGACACTACTTAACTGCCAGGGCAGGCAAACGACATGCCCCACTGGGCAGCAGGAGGGCTCGGGATGCTGGGTGTGGACACAGCCACCAAGATGAGCACCCAGGGACCTCTGGAGGGAGTTTCAAGAAGGGATAATGAATGGTAATAAAATGCAGATGAAAGAGGAAAAGACAAGACTGAAAAGTAAGGGCAGCATCACTCTGGAAGCTTCAAGATGGGCTCTCATTCCTGCAGCTGCAGGAGGCATTGGGCCTCAGGCCACGCGTACAGTCATGCTTGACCCTTTGCTACCCGAGCTGGAGACCCTCTGCTCTTGCTGCTGGAGATCCCCCATGCAGTATGAGCATGGACATGGGCATTTTTGAGGCAGCTGAAATACTAAGAAAGACTTCTGCCTGGCATTGCTGCTGTCTCACAAACCTCAGTGTTCAGCAAGGAGACCGCAGGGGCTCAGCAGTGCTCCCAGCAATGGACCAAACTCCCCATGAAGTTTGGTCTCAAAACACGACCTTGCAGCAGACTCAGCTGGATTGAGCCACTTAGAATATCTGCCCCATCAGTAATATATTTTATTAAGTTTCTTTGGCAGTGTCCTGCAACAGGCCAGCCAGTGCATTTCAAAGTGGCCACAAAAGTCACTCTCAGGCAACAACCCTCCCACATTTCCTATGGTTGGCCTCTGGTTTGCTGACCTGCTTGGGAAGGAAGTCCTCACATCAGAGAGAGACACAGGACACAGAAATACCATCCAACCCGGTCAGGGCTGTGATAACACCTTGGTATACCTGGCCTAAGTGAATCACCACTGAGCATCTACTGAAGCTGACATATGCGCAGGTTATCAAATGAAGTTACTGTGTTGTTTAGAGCTCCAGACACTTGTGAGTCTTGAGAAAGATTAAGTTGTTCATATTTTAAACCTTACTGTGGCTGAACCCCACAGAGCTCTTGGGAAACTGATCACTTACACAGTTAAAAAGTTGTATCTTGCCTCTAGGCAGAAATCTGCTTTCACCTCCCGGCTCCAGGAGCTAGTGACAGTTTTGGCTGCCAGGATAAGGGCAGTCTGTTCTTGTATCTCTGCTCACACGGAGTTATCAAATTACTTCTTGTGATGGTCTTAAACCAACTAAACAGGAAAATATCCTGACACTCCTGCACTTTCTATGCTGATCTTCTTTCACAAAGGAGTTGAACTCTGTCCAGTTGTTTGTCTTCCCTGACTTTGACTCCATGGGTTCTGAGGACACCAGTATCCAAGACTTCAGATTTAGACAGCACAGGGGGAAGTTTCCCTTAAGCATGAATTGCTAAGTGTACCTTTAGTGACAGACAGAGTAAGGCACAATAGCCCAACACCTCCATATGAATACCCAAACTATCACTTCACTTGCTGGGGAATAACACTGCTTTTCTACATGCCTCTAAGGAGAAAAGCAGCTTCTCAGAGCAACAGCAATGTACACAGCAAGGCAAGAAGGACAGGAGAAGGTTGCCCATAAATATCAATCACACTCATTCAACAGCAGAGTGGAGAAAGCCATAGCACTTAGGGAAGAGTAGATGAGGACCCATGAAGCAAACCAATCTTTTGCACCCAACTGCAGTCCATTAAATACATCAGCGCCCCACCCCAACAAAAGGTAGAACACTCGTCTGCCAGGAATAAAGCACTTTAGGGAGAAGAGCAAAGGTTACCAGCAGCACTAATATCTTTTATCGGGAAGGCTGCTGTATCTGCGAGGAAAGACAAGCTTTGACACACATGTGCCTTTGGAAGGGTAAAGCAGAGTATTAGTCTCTACCTACACTGCCAGCTGGTCTCAGGGAGTCCCAGAGAAGGGACCCGACCCCTTGGCAGACATAACTGTCCAAAATTCATTGACTCCACGTATGCTACAGACACTCACTGCAGCAGCTACAGGAGGTCACTTCTCCCCAAGTCACAAAAAAAGCTCTTCTAGATATTTCTCTATTTGTGTGCCGTTTGTCAACACACACACAAACATTTGAAGCCTGAAGTGCTGCTCAAAGCGCTGCGCAGACAAATCTCCTCACAGAAAAACGGTCATGAAACCTCTGCGTGATGAATTCAAAGAATCAAAGTACAGCAAAGTGCAAGAGGGCCTTTGTGGGCAGACAGTTGCCTCACCTCATAGGTGTTGGCTCCGAAAGCTGATGCAAAAAGAGTTTGTGAGAAGGACAGAAAAATCCCCAGCAGCAACAAGCCAAACGAAACCCATTCCTCAGATTAGGCTACATACAAAGCTTTGACTAGGGACAGCACCTCCATGGGTGCCTCTGAGCATCTCAACCAAACACCTCTCAGGTGGGAGAATTCTGCAAGTCAGCACCATTACCGAGACCAAGGCATAAAGATAAGAAGGGGTTAATTCCATGTAGCCAAGCTTGCTGACCCTACAAACCAGGTATCAAGAACTTCCTATGGCCACCTGGAGCCCTATGGCACATGTTATACAGACCTGCTTCCCAAAAGTCCCTAGGAGCAGTCTACAAGCAGAGGCAACAGCAGCCCCAGTGTTACAGGGGAGAATGCACCCAGGCAGGACTGGAGATGGGTGGGCAGGCTGGACCAGCTACCTCAGCCTCACCAGCCCCTGCCAGCTCAGCAAGCCCTTCCCCACTCAAAGACCAGCTCACCCACCAACTCAACAGCAAGATTCCTTACACATGACTCAAGAGGCAGAGCTGCTTTTCTTGCTATAGCAACCAGCATATTCAAACACTTCACAAAATCTGGACTGATCATGTCCACCAAGCACACACCTGCAAGGTGTGGCCAGCAGAGCCAAAAGTGCCCTGGACTTGGCAGCAAGAGGATTTAGGGAGGAGAAGGTAATGATCTGCCTTAGGTTTTCACATGAGCTACTCCTGAAGAATGCTTATGCAAAGGCAAGAAGGTGGGACATGAATTTTGTCTCTCAACTGAAGGTGAACACAGTAATTGAGAGGGCAAAATTACTCTAGGCCTGAAGTGTGGGAGGTGGAGTAACAGCCTTCTGTAAAGTTCAGGTTGGGGCTTTGGCCCCAAAACGCTACAGCAACCTGTGCTCACTGTCTAGTCATTCCTGTAACTGCTCCTCCCAGCCATCACCACTCAGAAAGATCCCAGCAGGAGCTGGAAACACCACTTCCAGGGCCTGTTCAAACTCCAGGTGGAAATTTCGACCACGGAACTTCCTGAGGTTACTCCTTCTCTCTGTCCTTCTGGGCCAGGTATGCAGAAGAGCCTGAACTTCAGGGGAGATGGAGGGAGCTGAGCTGGGCTAGCATGGCAAAGAGAAGGGGGGATCAACAGCTGCCTGCAACAACCAGAAGGGCAGCTGCAAGGATGATGAAGGCTCATTTCAGTTGTTGCAGACAAAGGGAAACACCCACAAATGACAGTCTGTGAGTGGACCCCAGAAAAAGCTTCTTCATTAAGAGGTGGTACAATCCTGGAGCAGGTATCCAGAAAGGTGATCTCCATCCTCAGAGGTTTTCTAGATGCAGCCAGACAAAAACATGGCTCAAGCAGCAGCTGGACTAGAAACATTCAGGACACAGTTATTCAGGGAAGGCCCACTCCTGAAATGCAGGAACCCTGAAAAGGCCATTTCAGTCATTAAGGATAATCAGTGGAAAATGAACCCTACAGCAGGACAGCAAAAGGAAGGGCAGCAAAGGAGGACTGGAGAGGCACAATGTGGTTGCACACAGAAAGGACTGTGCAAACACTGCGCTCGTGCTATCACCTAACACTACAAGAGAAAAAACCTGCTCAGAGCAAAACTCTAAGAACAGCTCCAAACAGGGTCTCAAATATGGCGTGTTGCCTGGTCTGCATGCTTAGGTGAAGACTAGAGGCAGATATAATCAAGGTCTACAAGGAAGACAAAACCCAATCCTCAAGACTTGATTTATGAGTTAAAGGTAAAACACAAAATTGAGGTCAGAAAAGCTCAAAATGGAAAAAAAAAAACAACCCAAAACAGTCGGTGATCAAAGGCACCAGGAGCAAGCACAGCTTCTGTAACTCAGAGCTTTGTCATACAGTCAAGACACATTGCCTCCTCCCAGAAGACCTGCTCAGAGTTTGAAAAAGGTTTCTAGACTTGACTCAAGGACCACTCATTTTCCTCTGGTTTACTCTCCTGGAAGCACTGTAGCTACTCCACCAGCACAACTTGTCTGTGCTAGAAAGCAGAAGTTACTACCCCAGTCTGCTAACCTGGCAGAGAAGCACCAGTTGCAACCTGCATCTTCTTACAGATCCCAGTTAGTGCAAGAGATCAGTCTTGTCTTGGGGAACGATGTGTTTACTAGGTTTCCCTCCAAACAGGCGCACGCTACTACTCCATTCATGAACAGACTTTCCACTGTGCTTGGGCTGCCTTCCCCAGCAGTTACCTTGAAGGAGTAATTTGGAACTAGTCAGTGTTGTACCATGGGAAATAGACACACTCTTAAGGGTTAAAAGGACTTACCTGTAATTACCACAGCCGCTGCACCCATCATCTTAGCAACAAGCACATTTACAAGGCCGATTGGTCCTGGATACAAAGGGGAGAAAAGAGAATACATACAACTGCCAGACAGCACCAGCCACAGGCTCTGAACATGCGCAGAGCTCAGCATGTTCCTAGGCTAAAGGAGGCTCTGACTGTGTTTCAGAGCTGTCCACCTGGATCACAGTATCACTATGATCCCAGAATAGTGAGACGAGCTGCTGAGAGAGCAGCTATTGCCACACAAGGGACTCTGCAGGGAAAACCACCACCTGTTCCTCTGCTCCCTCAAGCTGGTAGGCTCAGCACACCCAGACACTGCACTTCGCATTTGGACTGCTCAAAATGCAGCACTGTAGGTCAGCATGGGTAAGGACAGCCTCATGGTCCCCCCCCACCCCCGTAACTCTGACATGAGGCACGCTTACAGCTGAGCTCAGAAGCAGATCTTGCATCCTGTCCACCGCCTTCCATACCATGGCAGGCAGAGAACCCCAGATCTGAGTATGTTCACTGTACCAGAGCCAGACACGAAGACTTTGCTTCCCAGAGTGACTCCCGCTCTTTTGCAGGCATGGATTCCCACTGAAAGGGGCTCAATAAGGGCTCCTTCTTCAAAGGTGACATTATCTGGAAGCCTGCAAGAACCAGACACAAGCAACAGTCACTAAAGAGGTTTATGAGGGTGATGAGGAAAGCCACGGAACTTAAAGACCAAACACTGCTCTAAATCATGGTGCCAAAATACACTCTTACGTCTAGTCTGAGAAATGCAGGGCTAGAATGTGTTCAAAGAAGTTATATTGCCTCTTTCCCTCCTCTGAAGCCGTTTGGATTGGAAGGGACCTCAAAGATCATCTAGTTCCAATCCCCCTGCCATGGGCAGGGACACCATGTCACCTAAGGCTCTGTCCAACCTGGCCTTGAACACTGCCAGGATGAAGCATTCACCACTTCTCTGGGCACCCTGTGCCAGTGCCTCAGCACCCTCACAGTAAAGAATTTCCTTATATCTAACCTGAACTTCCCCTGTTTTAGTTTCAGCCTCTTGTCCTATTGCTATTGCTTCAAGTGCACCTAAACCAGTTACCAGTGAGGTCTGCCCAAGCACCAAACACAGAGACTCACAAACTTCCCCACATCATCTCTCCAAAACTTGGTGAGTTAATCCAGTAACTCCTTTGCCACTCATTTGGAATAACCCCCACAGTTGCCTACCCCAAAGGCTGCCCTATGGCTGAGATCTACCAGTGAGCTCCCAGATCCTTCATCTGGGTCAACTCATTCAGCTCCACACTTTTAGAAAACATCTTACTTCCAATGGTCATGCCACATAAAGCAAAGGCAGCCAGAACCAGGTCTCTCATCATGCCCTGGATGTCCTCCCCTCATGCACCAAGTGTTCCAACCAGTGGACTGATCCCCAGCATAAATTCCCTCAGCAGTCAGGGAAAACGTGTAAAGTGGGTATCAACTTTAAGACAGAAACAGTACTGTAACACATAAGTGATGGAAAAAAGCAGAGGGGATGAAACCTTTCTGAACTGCTGACAGAAATAAACCTCAGCCCCACAACCCAGTCCTCCAGAAAGCTCCCAGCATGGGCTTGTCACACTGTGAGAAAGGTATTTCTGACAGCCCTGGAAAGCTCAAGGTCAGATCTCAGCCAGGCCAAAGTAACGGAAATGACAGCTGTGGGAGGATATCTGTAGGATATCTCTCTGTCCCTTATCTCCAGGAGGCATTAAAGGGCTAACTCTAAGAGTTCAGTTGTCTCAGAGGTTGGCATCACATTTGCTACTAGTGGGTCTGGGCAGAGCCCCATCACTGGGGATGGCAGCTTTGCAGCATGATCCTACATTACTCAGAGCGTCCAACACAGTCTGTCCACCAGCAGAAGGACAGATAATATCTGCTTAAATATATGAGAGCCCACTGAGCTCAGCCATCATCTCTTCTAGGCAAATCTGTGCTGGCAGAGTCATTACATGCCAGCGAATCTGCTCTGCATCAGATAGGCCTGCATTGCTGATCTGAAACTAGGAGCACTAGAATCAGGCTTTGCATTTCAAAGCTTAAAAAAAAATAAAATTAGCCAAAGTGTATTTCCTCAAATTGGAGGAAAAAAAGACAGCTACAAAGCAGCCCCTGCCTCCCAAGCAAAAACTTGTGATGTTGTCAGAAAATGTTACCACCACACAGGAATCCAGTGACAGCAAGTCTGGACAAGTTGAGGAGTCCCACCCAGCCCAGCACATCATCCCACAGCAGCTGCTCGGGATCCACTCTGAAAGCAGCTTCCAGCTTGAGGACTCTCATGAGAAAAGCATTCAACTGCCTCATCCCAACTGATGTGACCCTGAACACTTCCTCTG